CTTTCCTTTCCTTTCCTTTCCTTTCCTTTCCTTTCCTTTCCTTTCCTCTCCTCTCCTCTCCTCTCCTCTCCTTTCTTCCCTCTCACTCTTTGTTTTTTCTTTCTTAGCTATTTTATTATGGACAATTTTAAGCCTACATAAACATAGAGAGAACTGTATGGAACTCACATGGATTCACCACCAGCTTCAGCAGTTATTAACCCCTGACCCATCCTGTTTCATCTATACTCCCACCCACACCCCATTTGTAAAATTATTTGGAGGCAAAGACCAGACATCTCCGTATCATTTCATCTGGAAACATTTCAAGAAGTATCTCTAAAAGACTCATTAAAAACAATAACACAACAAACACCATTAGCACAACTAAAAGCCATAATACAATTCCTTAATGTCATCAAGTATTCAGAAAGTGCTCACTTACCTCATAATTTTTTTTTTTTTTAGTTTGAATAAGGATCCAAACAAGTTTCATATATTGCCATTGGTTGATATGTATCTTTTATTTTACGATTTATCCTTGCATTTAAAAATGTAAATATAGGGACGCCTGGGTGGCTCAGTGGGTTGAGCCTCCAGGTCATGATCTTCCAGTCCATGAAGTCCAGCTCTGTGCTGACAGCTCAGAGCCTCGAACCTGCTTCAGATTCTGTGCCTCCCTCTCTCCCTGCCCCTCCCCCACTGACACTCTGTCTCTCTCTCTCTCAAAAATAAATAAAACTTTGAAAAAAACATTAAAAAATATAAATATAATTGAGTCATATTTTCCCTTTCTTAGATGAATAGTGGCATACTATATACTTTTTTTTTTTTTTTAACTTAATACAATCACTCACTGTAATACAGAGAGAGCTTCCTCCTTCCCTTCTAGGGTGGTGGAGCAGTCTACTGTGTGACTTCGCCCTAGCTCATTGAACCCCTCCCCTGCTGACAGTTGTTTCCAGTCTTTTGCTATAACAAATACGGCTGCAATGAACAGGTTAAGGCTTTTTATATTTTAGTGAGTGTCTCTTTGGGATAGATTCTTAGAGGTGGGATTGCTGTGTCAAAGGACAAAGACTTAAAGTACTTTTGCTAGATATTGCCAAATTTCCTCCCTAGGATTGTACTATGTCACTAGCAGTGATGCCTGATAGAATCTGTTTCCTCACTAACAGATTGTGTTGTCAAAAGCTTGGATTTTTGCTGGTTGAAAAAGGGTATCTCAGAGTAGTTTGCCTTGCACTTGGGGAGGGTTTTGATGCCACGAGGTGAGCAGTCATTGTCTTCTGTGGCCAGGATTGTGAAAGCCCCATTTGAGCCCCGCTGTGCATGTGAATGACCGTCACTAGAACTGCTGAGCACAGATAGGACTTCTGGGTTTGTTTTATTAAATTGTGTTTATAAACCCCATATGCGTGTCACCTCACGTGAATGACTGCTCAGTGTAACATGCTACCAGAAATGACGTACGAGGCTCAGGGCTCCACCGAGGAGAGCAGGGCCTCCCAGGGTCTGGAAAGATGGGAGGTCCCCAGTGGGCAGTCATCTATGTCCGCCATCTTGGAGGCTTCCCGCTGAGTCATGCCGGGGCACGATTTTAGGGAAGCGGGGGGCGGGGGGTCACTTTCATATGTTTTCCTGCAATTCCAGCTGCAGGGGGGTGTGGCAGCTCCCCAGGGTTGCCACCAGATGGCTAGAGCACCTTGGAAAAGCTGGTACGGAAGGTGAGGCCTGGCAAGGGTCTTGTCTACAGTGAGACTGTGGCCTGGTGGGTAGATCCAGGTCACTCAATGGGGAGATGTTGTTGGTTGTGGCAGTTTTGTGAACAGAACACTTTCTACTTTATCTACCCCAGCCCATCTCTAAAGTCTTATATCCTTTCTACAAAGATATCTGGGTCCCAACGTTTCAACCCTCTGGCTCCATAGACATCTATTTGCAAGGACACTGCCTCCTGGAAAATGAAGCCTGGGTCCTGTGGAATCCTGTGCTGTGGGAGCAGGCAAAGATGTTGGAGCAGGGGTTGGGGGGATCACCCATAAACTGGTGGAAGCCCTCGGACATGAGTCCCAAAGCTGTGCCTTGGAGACCTCAGCAGGTGATTGTGCTGGAGCAGATCTCTTGACCTGACAGCCCTTTACAGGGGTGGA